CCGCTCAGCCGTTTAAACACCAGGGCTCTGCAGCGGGGACCTCTGCTTGTCACCATCAGCGGCCGCCGCCAGCCCACGGGACAGTGCTTCCCAGACGGCCACGGCAAATTAAAGCCGCAGCCCCTGCTGAAGCCGCTCGAACACAGGAAGCTCTTTGGGCAATTAACGGCGTCCTACTCCTCTCCAAGAGGAACACCGCCCCCGCAGCGGGAAACGGGGAGAAAATATCCCCGGGCGCTGCGCCCCGGCCACGCGTGCTCCTCGGTCAGTGCCGCCGCGCGATGCCACGCACCAGGGACAGGCATCGGTGCGGGCTCATCACCTATTGCTGCCACAAGCAAAACCTCGCCGAGGAGGGTTGGTAACGGAGGGGTTGAGGACACCCTCCCACACAACCTGAGGGCTCAAGAGCTGGAAATTCACCCCACGGCTTGGAAATACGCAGCAAGGGAAGGCAGAGAGGTGTTTTGTGCAGGAAACCCCATCGCCACGCTCCCACGCTGGCTGTCGCCGCCAACACAGCGCCCCGAAACTGCCCCTGGTGCAGGGAGCAGGACGAGCACCCTCTCAGCCGTGCTCTCCCTCGCACCATCCCCACCAGCACCTCCCCGGGCCGTACCTTTGCTCGGTGAGGATGTCCAGGACGTTTTCGGCCAGCCAGATGTTCTTCGCCGTCACATCCCCGCCTGGGAGCCAAACGGGGAGAATCTGGTCAGATCAACGGGTACCACTCTGCTGCCACCCAACCGAAACACCGACCGCTGCCACCCCTGCACCCCGGCAGGGCAAAGCCAATTAAAGAGTTTGCTCCCTGCCTGCAGCACACGCTTCTGTCTGGTCCTGCTCTGCCTGTCAGAGTGCTTGGCTGTCCCCAAACTCAGCCCATTTCGGGGTACAGTGCCTTTCTGTCAGGGGATCAAGGGGCTGCAGCAGCGCTCGTACAACTGGGCTGCGATCACCAGCAACACTGAGTCAGGAACCGTCCCCGGGGACAGGAAAGGAGAAGGTGGCAAGGGATGAGATTGAGCAGCTGGAACAGAGAAAACCTTTGCAGCTGCTGAGCCTGCAAAGGGTGCCCGGAATCCCAGACCAAGGGCAGGTGCCAGAGCGGTGCCTCACGCGCTCAGCGTTGGCCTTCGGAGCAGAGTGGGATCCTGAGCACGGGGGCACAGCAAACGCCAAAGCAGGAGCCCAAACAATGGGCTCATAACAATTAAACACCAGAAGTGAGACAGCGGCGTCCGTCCAGAACAGAAGGGGCCCTGGTCGGGGAGGTGCAAGCAAGGGACGCCTTCAGCAGGGGTTTTAAATCGCTGTGTTTACACGGGGACAGCGGGGCCAGGGCAGCTTGGCTCGGCCTCAGGACTCTCCCTCCCTCCCCCGAAGCGCAGAGGCTGCAGTTCCCATCCCAGGGGCACACAAGGCAAACACAACGCGAGGGTTTGCAGCGGGGCATTCGCTCCTGCTCTGCGGACGTCGGCGGCACCGGCGCCGAGCAGAGAACACGGAAGAGGCACCGCCCCTGTGGACATGGAAAGACGTGTGTGTGTGTGTGTGTGCATGTGTGTGTGTGTGTGTGTGTGCAGGAGGAACACACCACGGGGAACACCGTGGGCCACCGACTGTCTGCGGGGGGCAGCAGCCTCCTGCACCCCCGATGTGTTACAGAGGGACTGCACGCACCGCCCCAGAGCAGGGATTTAGGATGATCCCGGTGCTACGGGGTGAAGTCTGGCAGCAACAGGAACCTGTGAGCTACTTGGCTCCGCCAGCGCCTGCCAGAAGCCTCCGGCCAGCTCCGTGATTCACCCCTGTTGGAAGCAGCCGCCCCTGGAAGGCCCTTCCTCTGCTCCGTGCTTCCTCACCAGACAGCTCGGGGCAGGCTGGGTGCCTGCTGGCCGGGTCCAGAGCTGCTGCAGGTCTGTCCAGACCCGAATGCAGGGCTCTGGCTGACGCCAAGTGCACCAGGAGCCAGCCCCGTACGTCACGGCATTAGGGTGGCACCGGGAGGGGACCCGCAGCTCACTCACCCGCGATCTGCTTCATGAAGGTCATGCAGACGCCGTCCGCGCCGAGCACCCCGCTCTTCACCAGCTCCCGCAGCAGCCACACCAGCTGGGCACAGGGAGAGATGGGGGCAGATGTTGACATGAACCCCCCAAAAACACCCCTCGGCTGGCGTTGCCCTGCCCAAGGGGAGTCCTGTGGGGAGCAATAAAGCTCCACCAGTGCCGAATGCCCCCCAAAACCTCCACGCTCTGCTCCTCCTCTGCTGCTTGCTGTGATTTTGGGGAGCAGGCCCTGCTCCTCACCTGGGTCCTGCAGGTGTCCTGCAGCTTCAAGTACTTCTCCATCAGGATGTGGTTGATCTTGTTGAGGACGATGTTCATGCCGTCCCGGCTCACCAGCGCCAGGTCCCGGTAGCACTGCGGGGAAAAGAGCAGCGAGAGGTGAAGGACCATAAGGGAAAAGGGTTTGGTCAAAGCTGGGGGGTAACAGCAAACCAATGGGTGTCGGGGGAAGACATCCAAAGGTTTCTGTTGGGTGTCCCCATCCCCTATCCCATTCCCCGCACCCTGACACATTTTGGGGGGCTCTACAGGGGAAGAGGGAAGCCCCATGGGGAAATGAAGGGCTTCCTGCACTGGTGCCAGACCGAACGCTGGGCAGAGAGCAGAGGTGCCAGCTCTGCCCTCCCCTCCGCTCAGGACAGCGGGGGTGGAGGGTGATTAGGCAGTAATTTGCTAAGTGGCTCTGCATGCAAGTTAATTGGTGCCATGATACGGCAGAGAGCAGGGGTCTGGGCTCCGTGTCCTCCTCCGGAGTCACTGAGGCCTCCGAAGGTCTCTGTGATCAGACTCCCCTCGCTCGCGCTTTCTCCTTCTGTTTTCACACAGCGCTGCTTAGAAAAATAGGAACACCTTGAAAAAACCCAGCCAAAACCCCAGAACCCGAGAGGTGCAGACCCACTGGGGCCTTTCACTGCTTGTGAAATGCGAAGTGAACGCCCGCAGAGCAGAGCCAGACCTGGAGTCTCCCACAGCCCCGCTACCCGGCCAGGAACTCACAACACCTCCCTCAGCCGCAGCGGCCTTGACAAAACCCACATAAATCACCCCAAAAGCAGGGGACAAAGGGGGTCCAGGACACGGAGCATGGGGGGCCTGGGTTCAGACAAAGCTTTGACCCC